TGTGTTTTTCTCGCTACTATTACACTTCATTAACAAAGCGTATCATACTTGTTCAATCTATAATTTTGCTTGAATTTTTCTTCAAAATTAAGTTATCGGTTACAGTTATTTTTCTTTCTTGTTATTATATAATTCTCACTTCGACTTCCTGTCCATAATTATCCTTATAATATCCTATAACTTCCGCAACGCCTCCTCCCTGTCCACCAGGCTGTCGAACTCGGCCATCAGCCGCTCAATGACCGTCTCCCATGGCGTCTTCCCGCCAGCACCGTCCAAGCTGTCATATACGGCCTTCGCCCTTCCTCTCAGTAGCGTCCCCAGCACCACCAACTTCGCCTTCGGTTCCTTCACCTCCACCAGCTCCGCCACGGCCTCAAACTCCTTCAGGAAGCTCCGCACATCTCCGTCCTCAAACCCCTTCGGCCATGGAATCTTCATCCTTTGCGTAGGCAGCGACACCAAATGTAGTGAAGGAGAACACAGGTTGGGCAACCGAATCGCAATCAACGAAAATTACAGAGTTACTCAGTAGAATCGGAAAACCATATCGTAAATCGTTAATTTGCAAAATATCAGTTCATCCTATCGAACTGGACTGTTCCTGTTGCCAAACATCAACAATCCATTGTCACTCACTGTTTATGCGTTTCATACAAATTCCATTGTGTTCTTCTAACTCTTCCTTTCTTGATCTTGCCCCATCTTCTGCTGCCAGACATTACGTTGAGACTCACGTCATATACTACTTATAAATAGCTCACACCACAATAGTAGTTCATTTATTGATTGACTGACCATTCAGTTAGTTGCATTCTTAATGATTTCACTTACTTTCTATTATGTGAAATGAATATATTTGCATAGAAATCAGTATTTATGTCCTGATATTATTTTTTTTTCTTTGACGCACACATGTTTTGATCTATATTTCTTTCACACAAATAAACTAAAAGTTACCAATCTTCACATATATTAACTTAGCAGCCGATCAATAGAGAGCGACCGAATCGATTACTCTTTCGTGATTTTACATTACGAGTTTCAATTTGGATAATAAACTACGAGACTCTATATTCTTAACTACGCCTGGAGTCCATCTGGGGCTACTGCCGGTCTCAAGCCGTTCATGGCGTAGGCGAGATATCCGTTCGCTAACCAAAGGACGGGTGTACTGCGGAGTAGTTCGCTCCGTTCTCCTATATGGCTGTGAAACATGGCCGTTAAGAGTAGAAGATGTTCGTAGGTTACTAGTATTCGATCATAGATGTATAAGAAGCATTGCTCGTATATCGTGGGACAACCGAGTAAGCAATGGTATCGTTAGGAAACGTGTACTAGGTAAGAATGGCAGATCAACAGATGAAGTAGTGAAACTTCATCAGTTGAGGTGGTTGGGACATGTGTTACGAATACCCAAACACCGACTGCCTCGACGAGCTACGCTTTGTGGTGTATTAGGAGTAGGTTGGAAGAAAGTTAGGGGCGGCCAGACCAAAACATGGCAGAAATCCTTGAAGTCAGTGACAAGTGGACTCAGTCATGTTGGTAGATGTAGACTACCTAGCTGGGGTCTGCGAAACGAAAGTCACCGATGGTTAAAGACTTTGAATGATATGGCTCAAAATCGTTTTCGATAGCGTAGGTGCATCCACTCTTTGTGTTGTCTCAAATCCTAATCTTCTGAAATCGTCAGCACCTCTAGTTTTGTCTTTCTAACCTTATCTCACGGAATTATACTTGTTGAATAATATCTTCAAACCCTAGTCTTCTTCATTACCATTAATACCTCTACTATCTTTATCACTATGGGATTTGATTTGACATTTGCGTCTCTGTTCTAATGTGGTATGGCATCCTGTACTTATGTACATACGTACAAAGTTCTACGTTGCATCTGACTGACTGACAAGCGCTATATCCTTATATCTAATTAGTGATTCCAAGCAACTGAAAATACATGTTGTATCTGAAACACGAATGAAAATGTTTACGTATTCCTTTTAATATTCGGACTAGAATATATATAATTGTTCGGTTAGCCTCATCAGCTTTGATGTTGTGCCAAAGCAACAACTACTAACTGTTCTTTACATACTGATGTACGAGTATCGACCTAAGATTTAATTATCTTATGAACGTGAGAATGACTGAATATCATGTTGAGAAGATATGACTGGCTTAATAAGATACCAAATTGCAAGAAATTAAGTCATAGTTCTAGTCGATAAAATCATTTCGAGATTTGATCCTTAACTGTCTCCCTTACCCTTACACGATTGTACTTTGGTGCAATATCAATGCTTATATTATTTAAACTTTGTCAATCTTAGTTTTTTCTTCTGACAAACCAGTCGGTTTTCCATGAAGTTTTGATAGAACAGTGAGAAGACGTAATTGATCTGAAAAATGTGATGTATTTGCGCTATACATTTCGAACAATCTGGTCGCACATATTTACTTGTCAAGGCATTTTATATGAAGATGAATAAAAGGTCAATTAAATAAAAGTAAATATAAGTAATTATGTGTGACCAGATTGTTCGAAATGTATAGCGCAAATACATCACATTTTTCAGATCAATTACGTCTTCTCACTGTTCTAACAAAATCCATAAAAGGGACTAATTGTTTTAAATTTCCATGAAGTCACTGACAACTGGATTGAACCATGTCAGTAGGTAAAGACTACTAGGTTGGAGTCCGATGGTTAGAGACTTTGAATGACATGACTCAAAATCGTCTACGTTGGCGCAGGTGCATCCATTCTTTGTGTTCTGTCGAGTTCTAATCTTCTGAATACCTCATCACCTTTCTCTGTTTAAATTCACTTTACTTGATTATACTTCTGGAATAATTTCTTTGAACTCTAATCTTCTCCATTGCGGCAAATACTCTACTACTATATGATATGAATTGACAATTTCGTCTCTGTGCTATTGTGGTATGACAACTTGAACTGATGTACATACGTACGAAGTTTTACGTTGTAGCTGACTGACTCATCAGCTTTTATTGTTAGTTTAAATAATTTATGTTAGGCAAAAATCATATAATGTGCTCACTATTGACTGAATTCGATCAGAAATTCTCGGAGTCCTAGTGAGAAGACTTTACCAGTGGAGTTCAACTCCGTCAGGTGTAGGCAGATACCCACTGAATGTAATGGGTGAGGTTGCGCAAAATCGTGACATTGATCATAGTTAGACATTAACACCGTTGGATGCCAGCTCAATGGTCCAGAAATTAAGCGTCCGCGCGAGACTGGAGATTCTGGGTTCGAACCCTTTGACTAGTAGGGTTCGCGGCTGCTCACAACCTCCGATAAGTCCTATACCAGGACGAAACAGCTGTGCACTGCTTCCATGTTTCTAATGATGGTCTAAATAGTGTTTACATAATTTTTCTTCAATGGATATATGAGTCGGCTATTTAACTTAAACAACTGTTCAATTTCCATTGTAATAAAAGAAACATCAAAATGTTTATATTCACTTGATTATTCTCATAATTGTTTATCTGTTTTTTTTCTGTCTACCATCTCTCTCTCTAAATATATAGGTGAATTGCAACGAAAAATGGGCTTGAAAGTTTTAAACTTGGGTGGAAATTCTTTAATTGGGTATGCTTTTTTTGGGGCATGTTTTTGATGTAATACACTTTCATACTAATGAAATTACTAATTAAGTAGTTTACTATTTTAGATTAACATTAGATATAATAATCAACGTAGTTTATACATATATACATATATATATATATATATACATATATATATATATATATATATATATATATATATATATACTGATGTTAATTTGTTCCTACATAACTAGCTCAGTAGTATACACACTCCGCCTGGCGCCCCTCTAGGGTTACTTCCGGTCTCAAGTCCGGATAAAGTAGGAGTGTTGGGCTTGAAGTCGGCAACCCCACCCCACCGGAAAACGAGTTGCTAAAATAAAAAGACGCCAACCAGTCCAAATCTGTGAACCTGGTTTGTAGTAAATGATTACTTACTTACTTACTTTCGCCTGTTACCCCCAAAGGAGCATAGGCCGCCCACCAGTTTTCGCCAACCAACTCTGTCCTGGGCTTACCTTTCTAATTCTTTCCAGTTTTTGTTCATTCCTTGATTTGTCGATCAGCACCCTCACATCTGCATCGGATCCACCTTGATTGTCGATGATGCTGCCCAGATATGTAAAGGTGTTAACGTCCTGCAAGGCATCTCCATCACGAGTGATTTGGTTGGTGCATGTTGTGTTGCATCGGAGAATTTTGCTTTTTCTTTTATGTATGTTGAGACTTGCTGCTGCTGCAGAGGCTGCTGCTACACTGGTCGTCTTCTCTTGAATTTTTTGTTGCGTGTGCGATAGAAGAGCCAGGTCATCTGAGAAGTCCAGATAGTTATAGTAAATGATAGGGGCTATTAATTGCAAATATTCATATTTATTACCTTACCAGTTTATAGTTATATGTTATTGATATTCAACATCAACATTATTGAATCTTTCTTTGTCGAATTCTCATCGTGATCAAATTGTCATTACAAAGCTATTTTGTATCTTTGTAGATTATGACTAGTAGTAAAATCTAATTGGAATGTTTAGGATTTGTCATCATCATCATCATCATATAAGACTTGAACTCAGTAATTTTCGCTTCAAACATCAGTATCCTATTCTCAATCAGTCAGTCAGCTACACAGTAGAACTTCGTACCTACGTTCATCACTTTTAGATGTCATACCACATTAGGACAGAAAGATCGAATCGTCATTTCAAATCCCATAGTATTAGAGGTAATGAAAGTATTGACATTAATAGAAATGATTAGGGAATGAAGATATAATTTGAGAAGTATAACGTAGTAAATTAAATTCAAAAGGAGTAAAAAGGTCATGAAGGGATTCAGAAGGTGAGAATTTGAGCGAAGGCCAACAATGAATGCATCTACGCCATTACACGCGGATTTGATCCATGTCGTCCAAAGTCTATCAGCACCAATTACCACTGTCTCGCGGACTCCAACCAGCTAGTCTACACCTACTAACATGACTCAATCCAGTTATCAGTAACTTCATAGATTTGTGCCATGTTTTGGTTTAACCGCCCCTATCTTTCTTTCAGTCTGCTCCTACATCAGACAACATCGCTCGTCGAGGTAGTTAGTTGTTGGTGATTAAGCATACGTAGCACATGTCCCAATTACATCAACTGATGACATTTTATTGTGAACTCATTCAGCTTTATCCATTCTTCATCTTATGTTAGAATTAGTCACTTCTTTGCTATTTCTCCTAACAATAAACATTTCATTGTAAATTATCATCAGCTTCATCTTCACTTGTTTTTAAACTGTTACTAAATATTTTACAAATATGGAATTCGTGTTAATGATTACAATCGATTTCGCAAAGATACCACCTCTCTACAATATTGTTTTCTTACAACTCAATACATTTATAGATATCAATTACATTTTGACTTAGAAGGTGAAACAGGTGTAGTTGTACGTGGCATTGGAACAGCTGTTCGTTTAAAAAAATATAATCCAGTAACTACACCTCCAAATACTCCATTAAGAATGTCAAAGTATGTTATTAAATATATATATTCATGTTCAATATTTGTATTGGTGAATTTTTTTTTCTGTTAATATTTCTATTAATATGAGAAATTTAATTATTTTTGTTAATAAAAAATGTCAAACCAAGTTGTAAAGAATTAGGCAAACATATTTATCTACATATGTACTTTATCGTACAAATAAGTTTATAAAAAGTTTACTAGAAATCAAATTGTTTATCAAGTCACATTCTGTATATCACATTAATTTATCCTAGCTGTAAAATCTCTGAACATATTGAACAAGTAGAAAGTAATCGATATCAGTTAAAAATTAATCTTATAGTATTCTTATATTGGTCTCTCTTTATATGGCAAGTTGAGCGTGTAGATTACTTCGTTTATCGTACGAGTCTCATGGTTTGGTGTCTGACAAAATCTAGACATAGATACAGAAGGCTCGAATAACTTTCGCCAATTTGCGTCACTTATGGCATAGGCAAGATATCCGTCTACTAATCAAAGATGAGTCTAGTGTGCAGCAGTTCCCTCCGTGCTACTATACAGGTGTGAATCATGGCCAGTAAGAGTAAAGGTTACTAGTATTCGATCAACGTAATCTTCGAAGTATTGCTCCTATATCTGTTAGGATATTCATCAAATATCCTAAGAGTACTATTTTTGAAACTACAATCCTATTGGTCGATTTCTGTTGGTCAAAATTATGGTCGTTTCAACTGTCAAAGTCAAATACTCTAATGTTGTCTCTTATTGGTCATCCGGACTGTCAATGTCATTTCAAATGTTCTTTCCTATTGGTCGTCCTAAACTGTCAATGCCACAGACCTCGATGCTCTTTCCTATTCGACCTAAATGTATAAATATTCACTATCTGTAAGACTTCATGATTCCGTTCCTTCCTGCCTTCCTCTCTACTGTACTCGACTCAATAAACAACTCCATCCAACGGTGTTGCGTTCTGATATATAGGAGATTGGGAATAGCATTTGGGTCGTATTGGAATAATCGAATTCGGACGTCGGTAGGATTTAAATAGCTACGTAGCAGCATTATAATAATATCCTAGGACCACCGATTTAAGTTATGCTGATGTTAGGAAAAGGGTACTGGATAAGGATGACAAATCAACAGATGAATTATTGAATCTTCATCAGTTGATGTGGTTACTTTCCCTTAACCACCGACTGCCTAAACAATCGATATTATGGCACAAATCCATGAAGTCACTGACAAGTGAACTGAGTCATGTTGACAGGTGTAGACTACCTGGTTGTGGTCCGCGAGACGATACTAGCCGATGGTTACAGACTTTGAATGACATAGTTCAAAACTGTTTGCGATGGCGCAAGCGCATCCATTCTTTGTATTTTCTCAAATTCTAATCTTCTACATTCTTTATCACCTTTCTTTTTAAATCGATTTCACTGGATCACACTTCGCGAATCATATTTTCGACCCCTAATCTTCTGCATTACCACCAATACTTCTACTACCTGTACTACTATGGTATTCGAATTGACAACTGCATCGTTGTGCTAATGTGGTATGGCAACTTAGATTCACGTACGTACATATCAAGTTCTACGTTTTGATTGACTGATTGACTGACTGACTCTACCTTTATAGGTTTCTACACATTTTCAACTCCACTAAACAAAACATTTTAACTGTGAATTATACAACCAAAAATTATACACATCGATTTATATAACTTATGTGGAATTAGATAAAACAAAATTTTATATACATTATTATTATTACTATTTCAATTAATCTTTATAATTAAAAATCAATTCTAATCAGGTCACGATTTATTTTGTTTGTTTAAAAGTTAACTGAAAACCTTGAACATTAGGTTTCCTGTTAGTTAGCTAGTTAGTTAGTTAGTTAGCACTTATTTACAAGATGCACTTACGCAGTCTGTAAAAAAAATTATGCTTTCTATGAAATTTGAATTCATATTACTTATGTTTCACTATGTTTGATACGTCACTTGATTAAGTAGAAGTTTTTTTTTCTATTGTTGATCGTTACATAATAAGTGTAATGTAAAGAAAAAGGAATCAAATAACATTTGATAAGTTAGATGATATTTCTTTATTTCACATAGACATTTATAGACAGACAAACAGATACAACGCAGAACTTTGTACGTAAGTACATCAGTTCAGGTTGCCATGCCCCATCAGCACAGAGACGCAACTGTCAGTTCAAATCCAAGAGTGATAGCAATAATAGAAGTATTAACAGTAATGAAGGAGATTAGGTTTGAGAGATATGATTCGAGAAGTATTATTCAGTAAGATAAATTTAGAAGGAGATAGGTAGAGATTATGAGGAATTCATAAGGTCAAAATTAAAGAGAACACAAGGAGTGGATGCACCTGCGCTATTGCAAACGATTCTGAGCCATGTCGTTCAAGGTCTCTAACCATTGGTGACTACCGTCTCGCGGACCCCAACCAGGTAGTCTACATCTAACAACATGACTCAGTCCACTTGTCACTGACTTCAGGGATTTCTGTCAGATTTCGGTTTGGCCACCACTAGCTTTCTCTCAACCTACTCCTATACCACAAAACATAGCTCGTCGCGGCAGTCGGTGGTTAGGCATACGTAACACATATCCCAACCACCTCAACTGATGAAGTTTCAATACTTCATCTATTGATTTGCCATCTCTACTTAGTACTGGTTTTCTAACGACAGCGTTGCTCGTTCGATTGTCCCAGGATACACGAGCAATGCTTCGGAGACATCGATGATCGAAGACTAGTAACCTACGGAAGTCCTATACTCTTAACGGCCAAGTCTCGCATCCGTACAGTAGGACGGAGCGAACTGCTGCACAGTACACTCGTCCTTTGGTTAGCGAGCGGATATCTTGCCTGCGCCATAGGTGACGCAGGTTAGCAAAACCTAATCGAGCCTTCTGTATCCGTGCTGAGGTTTCGTCAGTCACCAGGCCATCAGCACTGATGAGACTCCCAAGATACGTGAAGCGGTCTACACGTTCACCCGCTTCACTCCCTATCACTAGTTCAGGTGCCGATGAAACCCAATCATGAAGCAACATTTTGCATTTTGAGGGTGAGAACCACATCCCGAACATGCTTGCATTGTTGCTTAGGGTGATCGGAAGACTCTGCATTTATGATTATTTGTTCGCTTATTGACACTGGAAAACAAACTGTGCTTTTCCGATGTAGATGAATTGAGTCTATAAAAACCAGTTCCAATGAAAGTCTTTGGATTGGTACTATTATCTTACCCTACTTCCAAGAATTGGCTTGTATCAGCACCTAAACTAGTGATAGGGAGTGAAGCAGGTGAACGTGCTGACCGCTTTACTTACTTCGGGAGTTTCATCAGTGCTGATGGCCTGGTGACTGATGAAATCTCAACACGGATACAGAAGTCTGGATTGGCTTTTGCCAACCTGCGTCACCTATGGTGTAAGTGAGATGTCCGTTTGCTAACCAAAGGACGAGTCTACTGAGCAGCAGTTGGTTCCGTCCTACTTTACAACATGAAAAATGGCCAGTCAGAGTAGAAGATATCCGTAGGTTACTGGTTTTCGACCATAGGTGTCTCCGAAGCATTGCTTGTTTGTCCTGCAACAACCGAGTAAGCGATGCAGTCGTTAGGAATCACCTTGACCGAAAATTGATACAACACAAACGAGTTCAAACATCATGATTTTGATTGTACTCAGAAAAAATATATTCCACTGTGTTTCTTTTTCTTTTCTATTTAACCTTGGGTTAATTTTTTCTTTAGTTATTAATAGTAACCTTCGCATGTTATATTTATTACTTGCAACATCAATTTTTAAAAAAGTTTCAGTCTTCTTTGGACTCTCATATTGGAATTGACTTTGTTAAATTATTTAAAGTGAATTATATTTTTGTAATTCAGAAATAGTAACCTAAAAAAATAATATTCAGTAGAAAAATTATATTTTTATAAAAACCTCAGTAATTAAACTTTCAGTGGGTACAGTGTTTCGCTCGACACAATGTAATCCTGTATTTACTTAAAGCTCAGTTGGTGAGATTTACAAATATCTAATTTTTTCCATTACGGGGTTGCGAAGATTGTTAAGTTACACATTTGAAATTATAAATCGATCAGTGTTAGACCACCATTAGAAACCTGAAAGCACTGGACGGTCGTTTCGTCCTGGTATGGGACTCATCAGCAGTGCAAATCCACAACTCCTGCACCCCGCAGGATTCGAACCGAGGGCTTTCGGTCTTGCGCGCGAACACCTAACCTTTGGACTACTAAGCCGGTATCAACCGGTGTCAATGTGTAACTTCGATCAATTCACGGAGTCGCGCAACCTCATACACTGTCTTCAGTAGTTATTGTCTAAGCCCGAACAGGTTGAACTTCACTGGTCACTACTTCCCACTAGAGCTCAGAGAAGATTCCTCATGGAGCTAGTCACTAGTGAGCAAAGGTAATTGCATTACAAGGTTCTGAAGATTGTTAAGTTACACATATGAAATCGTGAATCTATCATTGTTCGAATCTTTCAGTGCTCAGGAGTCGTGGATCCGCACTGCATGATGAGTCCCACACCACTACGAAACGGCCGTCCAATGCTCCCAGGTTTCTAATGGTGGTCTAACATTGATCGATTCATGATTTCAAATTTGATTTTTTCCTCGGTAATGTCTTACATTATACTCAGCACCTAACCACTGTAACATGATTCGTTCAAATTTCTCTTTAAAATAACCAAATACATAAATTCATTTTACCACGAAATAGTTCATGACGTATTCTCTCGTCATCATTTGATTGATGGTACGAAGTTCAACGTTGTAGCTGACTCTGACTACAAAATATCAATTCACTATCAACCTTTCTTTTGAGACAATGTATCTTATTTTAAAACGATTTCCGGTTAAATTTATACCGACGCGTATTCATGTGTATAAGTATCGAAAAAATATAGGTGGAGAAAACTTGTAGCTCAGGTGGATGAATGTAGTGGCGTTTCGTTCTCTGAGCTGTTTGTTTTGGTTGTGGAGCTTTCATTTTCATTCTGAACAACATCATCAGCAAAAACTTCAGATAGAATTGAAGCATTCGAATTTCTCCACGTTTGACCTAAAGCTTGTTCTGCTAACCTCGATCTTGATTGGTTGCTGTTGTCTTTTGACCTGCAGACAACGACACCACCACAAAAAATATAAGTGCTTAATGTTTAGGTTGCTGATTGGTAAAGCCGAATACAATAAGCATTTTGTTGTTCACTGTTTATCAAGTTTGTTTTATGAATAGTGTACAATAGACTGTACATTTTTATTACATAATATAACTTTAAAAATGTTCTATTATTATCAGTTTCATATGAAAAAATTTCCCCATAAACTCCATCTGGAAGCCATTTTTGGGGTTTGCTGTCATTCCCATGTTCGAATAAAGAAAGGTAGTCAGTCAGTCAGTTGCAACGTAGAACTTCGTCCGTATGTACATACGTTCATGTTACCACACCACATTAGAACACAGATGCAAATGTCAATTCAGATCCCATAGTGATAAAGATAGTAGAGGTACTAATGATAATGAAGAAGACTAGGGTTTGAAGATATTATTCAAGAAGTATAATTCAGTGAGATAAGGTTAGAAAGACAAAGGTACAGGTGCTGAACAATTCAGAAGATTAGAATTTGGGAGAACACAGTGAATGAATGCACCTGCACTATTGCAAACGATTTTGAGCCATGTCGTTCAAGGTCTCTAACCATCGGTAAGTTTCGTCTCGCGGACCCCACCCAGGTAGCTTACATCAACCAAGATGACTCAGTCCACTTGTCAGTGAATTCATGGATTTGTTCCATGTTTTGGTCTGGCCGCCCCTAACTTTCTTCCAACCTATTCCTACACTGCAACACATAGCTCGTCGAGGCAGTCAGTGGTTAGGCATTCGTAACACATGTTCCAACCACCTCAACTGATGATGTTTCATCATTTCATCTGTTGATTCGCCATCCCTAGCTATTACTGGTTTCCTAACGACAGTATTGCTTACTCGGTTGTCCCATGATATACGAGCAATGCTTCTTAAACATCTATGATCGAATTCTAGTAACCTACGAACATCTTCTACTCTTAACGTCCATGTTTCGTATCCATATAGGAGAACGGAGCGAACTGCTGCACAGTACACCCGTCCTTTGGTTAGCGAACGGATATCACGCCTACGCCATAAGTGACGCATGTTAGCAAAAGCCAATCGAGCTTTCTGTAAGGTAAGTTAGAGCATTTGGCATGAAGTTAACAACACCCACCTCATAAGTGTTACCGAAATGTATAACTTAAAGTTCGGTGGTACTTTACTTCTATCAATCATTCAAATCGATATATTCGGCTATTAGTGAAATTCCATTTCATTTTAGTTTATAATTTTATTTCTTTCTTTTTATAGAAACTTTTCACACAATTGGGAATCACCTAATACAACATACAAAGAAAGTGGTAAGTCGATCATCCATTTTCCCTTGTAATTACATATTTATTAATAATAATAATAATAATAATAATAATAATAATAATAATAATAAAAGTTTCAATAATCAGTGCAATGTGTTACAAACACAGAAAACAGGTATTTTTTGTATGTATAAACAATTCAACTATGTCAATTTATTCGAAACAGGTTATTGTGTTCAAGAGTATTGATTGTGAACAAAGGAAATGAGTGATCTATTATTATTTTTAATGCAGGAAATTGTGCACTGGGTTTATTAGAGTATTTTTGTCCTTAGTCTTAATCGGTTATATTATAATAATAATAATCCATGTGTTGTAAATTTAATCATTATTACAAGAGTAGTCAGTCAGTTAATCATTTACAATGTAGAACTTCGTACGTAGGTACGTACATCAGTTCAGGTTGCCATACTAAATTAGCACACAGAGGTGCAAGTTTCGATTCAAATCCCATAGTAGTAGAGGTAGTAAAAGTGTTAGAAATAATCGGAGAGATTAGGATTTGAAGATAACATTCATGAAGTATAATTCAGTGAGATAAGCTTAAAAACGACAAAGGTAGAGGGTGGTGACGAATTCAGAAGATTAGGATTTGAGAGAACACAAAGAGTGGATACACCTGCGTCATTGCAAACGGTTTTGAGCCATGTCATTCAAGGTCTCTAACCATCGGTTAATATCGTCTCGCAGCCCCCAACTAGGTAGCCTACATCTACCAACATGACTCAATCCACTTGTCACTGACTTCAGTCGGTGGATGGGCATTCGTAACACATGTCCCAACCCACCTCAAATGATCAAAGTTTCATTACTTCATCTATTGATCTGCCATCCTTAACCTAGGACGCGTTTCCTTATAGTTGTCCCAGGATACCTCGAGCAATGCTTTCTAAGACATCTGTAATCGAATACTATAACCTACGGAATATCTTCTTACCCTGATTGGCCATGTTTCATAACACCATAAAGTTAAGTCCGGAGCGGAAACCTACTGCACAGTACATCCGGTCCTTTAGTCAGCAAACGGCATATCTCGCCTACGCCATAAGTGATTGCAAGTTGACAAATCCAATCGAGCCTTCTGTATGCCGTGTTTAGATTTCGTCAGTCACAGGCCATCAGCACTGAGTAAGACTCCCGAAGTAAGTGAACGCGGTCAACATGCTCAACTACTTAACTCCTTATCACTAGTTTAGGTGCCGACGCAAGAGTAACGTATGAACAATTTGACTGTTTCATTGATATTATTGCTTTTGAATTTTCCCTGTAGTTCATCAGTTTCTTTGACAAATATGCATCCTGTATGTATTGCCTCATTATTGCCATCACGGTACAAGCATTCCCAAAAGAGATGTATAATGGATAGCATTGGGATTCAGAACTCACTTTCTATCTTATTTGGGATTCATCAGCCGGATGCTTATAATGTGTGTGACTTCGTGTCTATATCAAGACAATCCGTATAGGGTGTACACTTGCCAAAGAGACACGGATCAGTTGCATTCAGTCATATCAGTGAGAAGATTCAAATAACCAATACAAATGAAATGATCTTCATCCCATCACACAAACCAGTGGCTGCCTTGACTCTCATATTCTAACCTTCTGAACTCCTCATCATCTCTATCTTTCTTTTTCTAATTTATCTCAATGATACTTCTCGAATCATGTCTTCGAACCCTAATCTTCTCAGATTACTTCTAATACTTCTACTATCTCTACCACTATGGGATTTGAACTGACAGTTGCGTCTCTGTGCTAATACGGTATGGCAGCCTGAACTGATGTACGTACGTACGAAGTTCTGTGTTGTATCTGTTTGTCTGTCTGGACTCAATGACTGAGATGGTAACGTGATGTCATTCGAAGCGAACTGTGCTGTGTTTGAGTTCCGTAGTGGAAATCAACTCTATGATGCAGACACATCCAACTGACTAGTCCTAAACAAGACGAAACTCGCATTTGGGGATTCCACTGTTATCCATTATCCATCTCTATAAGTTTTACTACTGCTCATAAATTTTATCATTTTTTTTCTGATTAATGTTTAATCGGACTTCCTTTTAAATTCGCACTGAAAATTCTAATTTTGGTATTGGTAGTCAATCGAATTACAGAACAAACTAAACTGTTCTAAACTCGATAGTCACCACAATGAAATGTCGGTCGCAAATAATAACATCAAATAAAATCATTCATAACACACGTAAACCTATTAAACAGACATGATAACGTTGGATATTGTGAGAGATTAGAGGAAAAATCTAAAATCTCCTCTAGTTAACATGGAAAAAAAACAGGCAAATCTAGGCTACACTACTTATTTTAAAAATCAATAGATGCACACGGTATAATTAAAAATAATTGATATAGTGTCTCCGACTTTTGAAAAAAAGCTAGATGAAACTATTTTCTTTTATGTTCAGAAAAAGCCTATAGAAAAATTAAACCTTACAATAACATGCGTAAATATATGTATATATTGGATAAATTACACAATACTTACGCCAAGTTCTAAACCTTGTGGTACATGGGATTGAAAGTTATGTACACCTAGAATGATAAAAATTCAAATAAACACATTGAACTTTAGCGAATTAAAAGGAAGTCCGATTAAACATTAATCAGAAAAAAAATGATAAAATTTATGAGCAGTAGTAAAACTTATAGAGATGGATAATGGATAACAGTGGAATCCCCAAATGCGAGTTTCGTCCTGTTTAGGACTAGTCAGTTGGATGTGTCTGCATCATAGAGTTGATGTCCACTACGGAACTCAAACACAGCACAGTTCGCTTCGAATGACATCACGTTACCCTCTCAGTTATTGAGTCCAAACAGACAAACAGATACAACGCAGAACTTCGTACGTATGTACATCAGTTCAGACTGCCATACGGCATTACCACAGAGACGCAATTGTCAGTTCAAATCCCATAGTGGTAGAGATAGTAGAAGTATTAGAAGTAATCTGAGAAGATTAGGGTTCGAAGACATGATTCGAGAAGTATCATTGAGATAAATTAGAAAAAGAAAGATAGAGATGATGAGGAGTTCAGAAGGTTAGAATATGAGAGTCAAGGCAGCCACTGGTTTGTGTGATGGGATGAAGATCATTTCATTTGTATTGGTTATTTGAATCTTCTCACTGATATGACTGAATGCAACTGATCCGTGTCTCTTTGGCAAGTGTACACCCTATACGGATTGTCTTGATATAGACACGAAGTCACACACATTATAAGCATCCGGCTGATGAATCCCAAATAAGATAGAAAGTGAGTTCTGAATCCCAATGCTATCCATTATACATCTCTTTTGGGAATGCTTGTACCGTAATGGCAATATTGAGTCGATACGTATGCACATTTGCCAAAGCGACTGATGAACTACAGGGAAAATTCAAAAGCAATAATATCAATGAAACAGTCAAATTGTTCATACGTTACTCTTGCGTCGGCACCTAAACTAGTGATAAGGAGTTAAGTAGTTGAGCATGTTGACCGCTTCACTTATCTCGGGAGTCTCATCAGTGCTGATGGCCTGGTGACTGACGAAATCTAAACACGGATACAGAAGGCTCGATTGGATTTGTCAACTTGCATCACTTATGGCGTAGGCGAGATATCTGACTAAAGGACGAGTGTACTGTGCAGTAGTTCGCTCCGTCTTAATTTATGGTTATGAAACATGGCCAATCAGGTAAGAAGATATTCGTAGGTTACTAGTATTCGATTACAGATGTCTTAGAAGCATTGCTCGTGTATCCTGGGACAACCGAGTAAGCAATGCTCTTATAAGGAAACGCGTCCTAGGTAAGGATGGCAGATCAATAGATGAAGTAATGAAACTTGATCAGTTGAGGTGGGTGGGACATGTGTTACGAATGCCCATCCACCGACTGAAGTCAGTGACAAGTGGAATGAGTCATGTTGGTAGATGTAGGCTAACTAATTGGGGGCTGCGAGACGATATCAACCGATGGTTAGAGACTTTGAATGATATGGCTCAAAATCGTTTGCAATGACGCAGGTGTATCCACTCTTTGTGTTCTCTCAAATCCTAATCTTCTGAATTCGTCACCACCTCTACCTTTGTCTTTTTAAGCTTATCTCACTGAATTATACTTCATGAATGTTATCTTCAAATCCTAATCTCTCCGATTATTTCTAACACTTTTACTACCTCTACTACTATGGGATTTGAATCGAAACTTGCACCTCTGTGTGCTAATTTAGTATGGCAACCTGAACTGATGTACGTATGTACGTACGATGTTTTACATTGTAACTGATTGACTGACTAATTACTCTTGTAATAATGATTAAATTTACAACACATGGATTATTATTATTATATAACTGATTAAGGCAAAGGGGACAAAAATACTTTAATAAACACAGTGCACAATTTCCTGCATTAAAAATAATAGATCACTTATTTCCTATGTTCACAATCAATACTCTTGAATATAATAACCCTGTTTCGAATAAATTGACATAATTGAATTGTTTATACATACAAAAAATACCTGTTTTCTGTGTTTGTAACACATTGCACTGATTATTGAAACATATTATTATTATTATTATTATTATTATTATTATTATTATTATTATTAATAAACATGTAATTACAAGGGAAAATGGATGAACGACTTACCACTTTCTTTGTATGTTGTATTAGGTGATTCCCAATTGTGTGAAAAGTTTCTATGAAAAGAAAGAAAGAAAAATTATAAACTAAAATGAAATGGAATTTCACTAATAGCCCAATAAATCAATTCAAATGATTGATAGCAGTAAAGTACCACCGAACTTTAAGTTATACATTTCGGTAACACTTATGAAGTGGGTGTTGTTAACTTCATGCCAAATGCTCTAACTTACCTTACAGAAAGCTCGATTGGCTTTTGCTAACATGCGTCACTTATGGCGTAGGCGTGATATCCGTTCGCTAACCAAAGGACGGGTGTACTGTGCAGCAGTTCGCTCCGTTCTCCTATATGGCTGTGAAACATGGACGTTAAGAGTAGATGTTCGTAGGTTACTAGTTTTCGATCATAGATGTCTCCGAAGCATTGCTCTTATATCGTGGGACAACCGAGTCAGCAATGCTGTAGTTAGGAAACGAGTAATAACTGGGGATGGCAAATGAACAGATGAAATAGTGAAACTTCATCAATTGAGGTAGTTGGGATATGTGTTACGAATGCCTAACCACCGACTGCCTCGACGAGCTATGTTTTGCAGTGTAGGAATAGGTTGGAAGAAAGTTAGGGGTAGTCAGACCAAAACATGGAACAAATCCATGAAGTCATTGACGAGTGGACTGAGTCATGATGGTAGATGTAGACTACCTGGTTGGGGTCCGCGAGACGAAAGTTACCAATGGTTAGAGACCTTGAATGACATGGCTCAAAATCGTTTGCAATAGTGCAAGTGCATCCATTTGTTGTGTTCTCTCAAATCCTTATCTTCTGGATTCTTCAGCACCTGTACCTTTGTCTTTCTAACCTCATCTCACTGAATTATACTTTTTGAATAATATCTTCAAACCCTAATCTTCTTTATTACCATTAATATCTCTACTATCTTTATCACTATGGGATTTGATTTGACATTTGCGTCTGTGTGCTAATGTGGTATGGCAACATGAATTTATGTACGTACGGACGAAGTTCTACGTTGCAACTGACTGACTGACTACCTTTCTTTATTCAAACATGGGAATGACAGCAAACCCCATGAACGGCTTCCAGATAGAGTTTATGAGGAATAATTTTCATGTGAAACTGATAATGATAGAACATATATAAGTTATATAATGTAATAAAAATGTACCAACTATTGTACACTATTCGTAAAATAAACTTGTAAAACTGTGAGCCACAAAATACTAATTGTATTCGGCTTCACCAATCAGCAACTTAAACACTAAGCACCTATATTTTTTGTGGTGGTGTCGTTGTCTGCAGGTCAAAAGACAACAGCAACCAATCAAGATCGAGGTTAGCAGAACAAGCTACAGGTCAAACGTGGAGAAATTCGAATGCTTCAATTCTATCTGAAGTTTGTGCTGATGATGTTGTTCAGATGAACAATGAAAGCTCCACAACCAAAACAACCAGCTCAGAGAACAAAGCGCCACCACAATCATCCACCTGAGATACAAGTTTTCTCCAACTATATTTTTTCGATACTAATACATATGAATAAGCGTCGGTATAAATTTAACCGGAAATCAGTTTAAAGTAAGATATTTTGTCTCAAAAGAAAGGTTGATAGTGAAGTGATATTTTGCAGTCAGAGTCAGCTACAACGTAGAACTTCTTACTATCAATTAAACGATGACGAGAGAATACGTCATGAACTATTTCGTGGTAAAATGAATTTATGTATATTGGTTATTTTAAAGAGAAATTTGAACGAATCATGTTACAGTGGTTAGGTGCTGAGTATAATGTAAGACATTACCGAGGAAAAAATCAAATTTGAAATCATGAATCGATCAATGTTAGACCACCATTAGAAACCTGGGAGCATTGGACGGCCGTTTCGTAGTGGTGTGGGACTCATCAGCAGTGCGGATCCACGACTCCTGAGCACTGAAAGATTCGAACAATGATAGATTCATGATTTCAAATGTGTAACTTAACAATCTTCAGCACCCTGTAATGCAATTACCTTTGCTCACTAGTGACAAGCTCCGTGAGGAATCTTCCCCGAGTTCTTGTGGGAAGTCGTGAACAGTGAAGTTCAACCTGTTCGGAAGTAGACAGTAACTACTGAAGACAGTGTATGAGGTTGAGCAACTCCGTTAATTGATCGAAGTTCAGCACTAACACCGGTAGATACCGGCTCAGTAGTCTAAAGGTTAGGCGTTCGCGCGCAAGATCGACGGCGCTGGGCTCGAGTCCTGCGGGGTGCAGGAGTCCTGGATTTGCACTGCTGATGAGTCCCATACCAGGACGAAACGATCGTCCAGTGCTTCCAGTTTTCTAATGGTAGTCTAACATTGATCGATTAATGATTCCAAATGTGTAACTTAACAATCTTCAAAACCCCGTAATGGGGAAAATTATATATTTGTAAATCTCACCAACTGAGCATGAACTAAATCGAGGATCACGTTGTGTTTAGCGAAACAGTGGGCCAACCGAAAGTTCAATTACTGACGTTTACACAAAAATATAATTTTTCTATTGAATATTATTTTTTCTAGGTTACCATTTCTGAATTACAAAAATATAATTCACTTTAAATAATTTAACAAAGTCAATTCCAATATGAGAGTCCAAAGAAGATTGAAACTTTCTGAATAAAATGATGTTGCAAGTAACATGCAAAGGTTACTAATGATAACTAAAGAAAAAATGAACCTAAGTTTAAATAGAAGAGAAAAAGAAACACAGTGGAATATATTTTTTTTTGAGTACAATCAAAATCATGATAAGTTTGAACCTGTTGTTGTTGTATGAATTTTCGGTCAAGGTGATTCCTAACGACTGCATCGCTTACTCGGTTGTTGCAGGATAAACAAGCAATGCTTCGGAGACACCTATGGTCGAAAACCAGTAACCTACGGATATCTTCTACTCTGACTGGCCATTTTTCATGTTGTAAAGTAGGACGGAACCAACTGCTGCTCAGTAGACTCGTCCTTTGGTTAGCAAACGGACATCTCACCTACACCATAGGTGACGCAGGTTGGCAAAAGCCAATCCAGACTTCTGTATCCGTGTTGAGATTTCATCAGTCACCAGGCCATCAGCACTGATAAAACTCCCGAAGTAAGTGAGGCAGTCAGCACGTTCACCTGCTTCACTCCCTATCACTAGTTTAGGTGCTGATACAAGCCAATTCTTGGGAGTGCGGTAAGATAATAGTACCAATCCAAAGACTTTCATTGGAACTGTTTTTTTTATAAACTCAATTCATCTACATCAGAAAACCGCAGTTTGTTTTCCAGTATCAATAAGCGAACAAATAATCATAAATGCAGAGTCTTCCGATCACCCTAAGCAACAATGCAAGCATAATCGGGATGTGGTTCTCACCCTCAAAATGCTAAATGTTGCTTCATGATTGGGTTTCATCGGCACCTAAACTAGTGATAGGGAGTGAAGCGGGTGAACGTGTAGACCACTTCACGTATCTTGGGAGTCTCATCAGTGCTGATGGCCTGGTGACTGACGAAACCTCAGCACGGATACAGAAGGCTCGATTAGGTTTTGCTAACCTGCGTCACTTATGGCGCAGGCAAGATATCCGCTCGCTAACCAAAGGACGAGTGTACTGTGCAGCAGTTCGCTCCGTCCTACTGTACGGATGCGAGACTTGGCCGTTAAGAGTATAGGACTTCCGTAGGTTACTAGTCTTCGATCATCGATGTCTCCGAAGCATTGCTCGTGTATCCTGGGACAATCGAACGAGCAGTGCTGTTGTTAGAAAACCAGTACTAAGTAGAGATGGCAAATCAATAGATGAAGTATTGAAACTTCATCAGTTGAGGTGGTTGGGATATGTGTTACGTATGCCTAACCACCGACTGCCGCGACGAGCTATGTTTTGTGGTGTAGGAGTAGGTTGAGAGAAAGCTAGTGGCGGCCAAACCGAAACATGACAGAAATCCATGAAGTCACTGACAAGTGGACTGAGTCATGTTGTTAGATGTAGACTACCTGGTTGGGGTCCGCGAGACGGTAGTCACCAATGGTTAGAGACCTTGAACGACATGGCTCAGAATCGTTTGCAATAGCGCAGGTGCATCCACTCCTTATGTTCTCTTTAATTTTGACCTTATGAATTCCTCATAATCTCTACCTATCTCCTTCTAAATTTATCTTACTGAATAATACTTCTCGAATCATATCTCTCAAACCTAATCTCCTTCATTACTGTTAATACTTCTATTATTGCTATCACTCTTGGATTTGAACTGACAGTTGCGTCTCTGTGCTGATGGGGCATGGCAACCTGAACTGATGTACTTACGTACAAAGTTCTGCGTTGTATCTGTTTGTCTGTCTATAAATGTCTGTGTGAAATAAAGAAATATCATCTAACTTATCAAATGTTATTTGATTCCTTTTTCTTTACATTACACTTATTATGTAACGATCAACAATAGAAAAAAAAACTTCTACTTAATCTAGTGACGTATCAAACATAGTGAAACATAAATAATATGAATTCAAATTTCATAGAAAGCATAATTTTTTTTACAGACTGCGTAAGTGCATCTTGTAAATAAGTGCTAACTAACTAACTAACTAGCTAACTAACAGGAAACATACGTTCAAGGTTTACAGTTAACTTTTAAACAAACAAAATAAATCGTGACCTGATTAGAATTGATTTTTAATTATAAAGATTAATTGAAATAGTAATAATAATGTATATAAAATTTTGTTTTATCTAATTCCACATAAGTTATATAAAACAATGTGTATAATTTTTAGTTGTATAATCCACAGTTAAAATGTTCAGTTTAGTGGAGTTAAAAATGTGTAGAAACCTATAAAGGTAGAGTCAGTCAGTCAATCAGTCAATCAAAACGTAGAACTTGATATGTACGTACGTGAATCTAAGTTGCCATATCACATTAGCACAACGATGCAGTTGTCAATTCGAATACCATAGTAGTACAGGTAGTAGAAGTATTGGTGGTAATGCAGAAGATTAGGGGTCGAAAATATGATTCGCGAAGTGTGAGCCAGTGAAATCAATTTAAAAAGAAAGGTGATGGAGAATTTAGAAGATTAGAATTTGAGAAAACACAAAGAATGGATGCACCTGCGCCATCGCAAACAGTTTTGAACCATGTCATTCAAAGTCTGTAACCATCGGCTAGTATCGTCTCGCGGACCACAACCAGGTAATAGTTCATACCTGCCAACATGACTCAGTTCACCTGTCGGTGACTTCATGGATTTGTGCCATAACATCGATTTTTGAGGCAGTCGGTGGTTAGGGAAAAGTAACCACATCAACTGATGAAGATTCAATAATTCATCTGTTGATCTGTCATCCTTACCCAGTACCCTTTTCCTAACATCAGCATAACTTAAATCGGTGGTCCTAGGATACTATTATAATGCTGCTACGTAGCTATTCAAATCCTACCGACGTCCGAATTCGATTATTCCAATACGAACCAAATGCTATTCCCAATCTCCTATATTTCAGAACGCAACACTGTTGAATGGAGTTGTTCATTGGGTCGAGCACAGTAGAGGGGAAGTCAGAAAGGAACGGAATCATGAAGTCTTACAGATAGTGAATATTTATACATTTAGGTCGAATAGGAAAGAGCATCGAGGTCTGTGGCATTGACAGTTTAGGACGACCAATAGGAAAGAACATTTGAAATGACATTGACAGTCCGGATGACCAATAAGAGACAACATTAGAGTATTTGACTTTGACAGTTAAAACGACCATAATTTTGACTAATAGAAATCAACCAATAGGATTGTAGTTCCAAAAATAGTGCTCTTAGGATATTTGGTGAATATCCTAACAAATATACGCGCAGTACTTCGAAGATTACGTTGATTGAATACTAGTAACATCTACTCTTACTGGCCATGATTCACACCTGTATAGTAGCACGGAGGGAACTGCTGCACACTAGACTCATCTTTGATTAGTAGACGGATATCTTGCCTATGCCATAAGTGACGCAAATTGGCGAAAGTTATTCGAGCCTTCTGTATCTATGTCTAGATTTTGTCAGACACCAAACCATGAGACTCGTACGATAAACGAAGTGATCTACACGTTCAACTTGTCATATAAAGAGAGATCGATATAAGAATACTATAAGATGAATTTTTAACTGATATCGATTACTTTCTACTTGTTCAATATGTTCAGAGATTTTACACCTAGGATAAATTAATGTAATATACAGAATGTGACTTGATAAACAATTTGATTTCTAGTAAACTTTTTATAAACTTATTTGTACGATAAAGTACATATGTAGATAAACATGTTTGCCTAATTCTTTACAACTTGGTGTGATACATTTTTATTAACAAAAATAATTAAATTTCTCATATTAATAGAAATATTAACAGAAAAAAAAATTCACCAATACAAATATTGAACATGAATATATATATTTAATAACATACTTTGACATTCTTAATGGAGTATTTGGAGGTGTAGTTACTGGATTATATTTTTTTAAACGAACAGCTGTTCCAATGCCACGTACAACTACACCTGTTTCACCTTCTAAGTCAAAATGTAATTGATATCTATAAATGTATTGAGATATAAGAAAACAATATTGTAGAGAGGTGGTATCTTTTCGAAATCGATTGTAATCATTAACACGAATTCCATATTTGTAAAATATTTAGTAACAGTTTAAAAACAAGTGAAGATGAAGCTGATGATAATTTACAATGAAATGTTTATTGTTAGGAGAAATAGCAAAGAAGTGACTAATTCTAACATAAGATGAAGAATGGATAAAGCTGAATGAGTTCACAATAAAATGTCATCAGTTGATGTAATTGGGACATGTGCTACGTATGCTTAATCACCAACAACTAACTACTTTGACGGGCGATGTTGTCTGATGTAGGAGTAGATTGGAAGAAAGATAGGGGCGGTTAAACCAAAATATGACACAAATCTATGAAGTTACTGATAACTGGATTTAAGTCATGTTAGTAGGTGTAGAGTAGCTGGTTGGGGTCCACGAGACAGTGGAAATTGGTGTTAACAGACTTTGACTGGCATGGCTCAAATTCGCGTGCAATGGCGTACATACATTCATTATTGGCCTTCACTCAAATTCTCATCTTCTGAATCCCTCATGACCTTTTTACTCCTTTTGAATTTAATTCACTACGTTATACTTCTTGAATTATATCTTCATTCCCAAATCATTTCGATTAATGTTAATACTTTCATTACCTTTATTACTATGGGATTTGAATTGACAGTTCGATTCTTTCTGTCCTAATGTGGTATGACATCTAAAAGTGATGAACGTAGGTACGAAGTTCTACTGTGTAGCTGACTGACTGATTGAGAATAGGATACTGATGTTTGGAGCGAAAATTACTGGGTTCAAGTCTTATATGATGATGATGATGATGACAAATCCTAAACATCCCAATTAGATTTTACTACTAGTCATAATCTACAAAGATACAAAATAGCTTTGTAATGACAATTTGATCACGATGAGAATTCGTCAAAGAAAATTTAATAATTTTGATGTTGAATATTAACAGCATAAAACTATAAATGGTAAGGTAATAAATATGAACATTTGGAATTAATAGCCCCTATCATTTACTATAACTATCTGGACTTCTCAGATGACCTGGCTCTTCTATCGCACACGCAACAAAAAATTCAAGAGAAGACGACCAGTGTAGCAGCAGCCTCTGCAGCAGCAGCAAGTCTCAACATACATAAAAGAAAAAGCAAAATTCTCCGATGCAACACAACATGCACCAACCAAATCACTCGTGATGGAGATGCCTTGCAGGACGTTAACACCTTTACATATCTGGGCAGCATCATCGACAATCAAGGTGGATCCGATGCAGATGTGAGGGTGCTGATCGACAAATCAAGGAATGAACAAAAACTGGAAAGAATTAGAAAGGTAAGCCCAGGACAGAGTTGGTTGGCGAAAACTGGTGGGCGGCCTATGCTCCTTTGGGGGTAACAGGCGAAAGTAAGTAAGTAAGTAATCATTTACTACAAACCAGGTTCACAGATTTGGACTGGTTGGCGTCTTTTTATTTTAGCAACTCGTTTTCCGGTGGGGTGGGGTTGCCGACTTCAAGCCCAACACTCCTACTTTATCCGGGCTTAAGACCGGAACTAACCCTAGAGGGGCGCCAGGCGGAGTGTGTATACTATGTAGGGACAAATTAACATCAGTATATATATATATATATATATATATATATATATATATATATGTATATATATATATATATGTATATATATATAAACTACGTTGATAATTATATTCAATGTTAATCTAAAATAGTAAACTACTTAATTAGTAATTTCATTAGTATGAAAGTGTATTACATCAAAAACATGCCCCAAAAAAAGCATACCCAATTAAAGAATTTCCACCCAAGTTTAAAACTTTCAAGCCCATTTTTCGTTGCAATTCACCTATATATTTAGAGAGAGAGGTGGTAGACAGAAAAAAAACAGATAAACAATTATGAGAATAATCAAGTGAATATAAACATTTTGATGTTTCTTTTATTACAATGGAAATTGAACAGTTGTTTAAGTTAAATAGCCGACTCATATATCCATTGAAGAAAAATTATGTAAACACTATTTAGACCATCATTAGAAACATGGAAGCAGTGCACAGCTGTTTCGTCCTGGTATAGGACTTATCGGAGGTTGTGAGCAGCCGCGAACCCTACTAGTCAAAGGGTTCGAACCCAGAATCTCCAGTCTCGCGCGGACGCTTAATTTCTGGACCATTGAGCTGGCATCCAACGGTGTTAATGTCTAACTATGATCAATGTCAGGATTTTGCGCAACCTCACCCATTACATTCAGTGGGTATCTGCCTACACCTGACGGAGTTGAACTCCACTGGTAAAGTCTTCTCACTAGGACTCCGAGAATTTCTGATCGAATTCAGTCAATAGTGAGCACATTATATGATTTTTGCCTAACATAAATTATTTAAACTAACAATAAAAGCTGATGAGTCAGTCAGCTACAACGTAAAACTTCGTACGTATGTACATCAGTTCAAGTTGTCATACCACAATAGCACAGAGACGAAATTGTCAATTCATATCATATAGTAGTAGAGTATTTGCCGCAATGGAGAAGATTAGAGTTCAAAGAAATTATTCCAGAAGTATAATCAAGTAAAGTGAATTTAAACAGAGAAAGGTGATGAGGTATTCAGAAGATTAGAACTCGACAGAACACAAAGAATGAATGCACCTGCGCCAACGTAGACGATTTTGAGTCATGTCATTCAAAGTCTCTAACCATCGGACTCCAACCTAGTAGTCTTTACCTACTGACATGGTTCAATCCAGATGTCAGTGACTTCATGGAAATTTAAAACAATTAGTCCCTTTTATGGATTTTGTTAGAACAGTGAGAAGACGTAATTGATCTGAAAAATGTGATGTATTTGCGCTATACATTTCGAACAATCTGGTCACACATATTTACTTATATTTACTTTTATTTAATTGACCTTTTATTCATCTTCATATAAAATGCCTTGACAAGTAAATATGTGCGACCAGATTGTTCAAAATGTATAGCGCAAATACATCACATTTTTCAGATCAATTACGTCTTCTCACTGTTCTATCAAAACTTCATGGAAAACCGACTGGTTTGTCAGAAGAAAAAACTAAGATTGACAAGGTTTAAATAATATAAGCATTGATATTGCACCAAAGTACAATCGTGTAAGGGTAAGCGAGACAGTTAAGGATCAAATCTCGAAATGATTTTATCGATTAGAACTATGACTTAATTTCTTGCAATTTGGTATCTTATTAAGCCAGTCATATCTTCTCAACATGATATTCAGTCATTCTCACGTTCATAAAATAATTAAATCTTGGGTCGATACTCGTACACCAGTATGTAAAGAACAGTTAGTAGTTGTTGCTTTGGCACAACATCAAAGCTGATGAGGCTAACCGAACAATTATATATATTCTAGTCCGAATATTAAAAGGAATACGTAAACATTTTCATTCGTGTTTCGGATACAACATGTATTTTCAGTTGCTTGGAATCACTAATTAGATATAAGGATATAGCGCTTGTCAGTCAGTCAGCTGCAACGTAGAACTTTGTACGTATGTACATAAGTACAGGATGCCATACCACATTAGAACAGAGACGCAAATGTCAAATCAAATCCCATAGTGATAAAGATAGTAGAAGTATTAATGGTAATGAAGAAGACTAGGGTTTGAAGATATTATTCAACAAGTATAATTCCGTGAGATAAGGTTAGAAAGACAAAACTAGAGGTGCTGACGATTTCAGAAGATTAGGATTTGAGACAACACAAAGAGTGGATGCACCTACGCTATCGAAAACGATTTTGAGCCATATCATTCAAAGTCTTTAACCATCGGTGGCTTTCGTTTCGCAGACCCCAGCTAGGTAGTCTACATCTACCAACATGACTGAGTCCACTTGTCACTGACTTCAAGGATTTCTGCCATGTTTTGGTCTGGCCGCCCCTAACTTTCTTCCAACCTACTCCTAATACACCACAAAGCGTAGCTCGTCGAGGCAGTCGGTGTTTGGGTATTCGTAACACATGTCCCAACCACCTCAACTGATGAAGTTTCACTATTTCATCTGTTGATCTGCCATTCTTACCTAGTACACGTTTCCTAACGATACCATTGCTTACTCGGTTGTCCCACGATATACGAGCAATGCTTCTTATACATCTATGATCGAATACTAGTAACCTACGAACATCTTCTACTCTTAACGGCCATGTTTCACAGCCATATAGGAGAACGGAGCGAACTACTCCGCAGTACACCCGTCCTTTGGTTAGCGAACGGATATCTCGCCTACGCCATGAACGGCTTGAGACCGGCAGTAGCCCCAGATGGACTCCAGGCGTAGTTAAGAATATAGAGTCTCGTAGTTTATTATCCAAATTGAAACTCGTAATGTAAAATCACGAAAGAGTAATCGATTCGGTCGCTCTCTATTGATCGGCTGCTAAGTTAATATATGTGAAGATTGGTAACTTTTAGTTTATTTGTGTGAAAGAAATATAGATCAAAACATGTGTGCGTCAAAGAAAAAAAAATAATATCAGGACATAAATACTGATTTCTATGCAAATATATTCATTTCACATAATAGAAAGTAAGTGAAATCATTAAGAATGCAACTAACTGAATGGTCAGTCAATCAATAAATGAACTACTATTGTGGTGTGAGCTATTTATAAGTAGTATATGACGTGAGTCTCAACGTAATGTCTGGCAGCAGAAGATGGGGCAAGATCAAGAAAGGAAGAGTTAGAAGAACACAATGGAATTTGTATGAAACGCATAAACAGTGAGTGACAATGGATTGTTGATGTTTGGCAACAGAACCGGTTCAGTTCGATATGATGAACTGATATTTTGCAAATTAACGATTTACGATATGGTTTTCCGATTCTACTGAGTAACTCTGTAATTTTCGTTGATTGCGATTCGGCTGCCCAACCTGTGTTCTCCTTCACTACATTTGTTGTCGCTGCCTACGCAAAGGATGAAGATTCCATGGCCGAAGGGGTTTGAGGACGGAGATGTGCGGAGCTTCCTGAAGGAGTTTGAGGCCGTGGCGGAGCTGGTGGAGGTGAAGGAACCGAAGGCGAAGTTGGTGGTGCTGGGGACGCTACTGAGAGGAAGGGCGAAGGCCGTATATGACAGCTTGGACGGTGCTGGCGGGAAGACGCCATGGGAGACGGTCATTGAGCGGCTGATGGCCGAGTTCGACAGCCTGGTGGACAGGGAGGAGGCGTTGCGGAAGTTATAGGATATTATAAGGATAATTATGGACAGGAAGTCGAAGTACGAATTATATAATAACAAAAAGAAAAAAGAATTGTAACCGGTAACTTAATTTTGAAAACAAATTTAAGCAGAATTATAGATTGAAAAAGTATGATACGCTTTGTTAATGAAGTGTAATAGTAGCGAGAAAAACCCAAAGTTCAAGGTTTCCTGTCAACTGTATTTAACGATTGAAATATCGCTCTATCATTTAAGTGTAAATCTGATTAAAAATTCACTGAACTGATAGGTAATTAGTTAGTCAAGTGAAAGAAAACAGTTCCAGTTTAGGAATTAAACATAAACGACAGTATTCTGGTTATACAAATCAAAGGAGACTATCGAACATATGACTTTGAGCTGACATAACAAAGTTAATTTCACATAACTATTTTGTTTTTAGCATTAAAAATCTCTGGCACTTCTAATGGTAGACTGAATTGGTATTAGTTACACTGAGTTCCTAAACTAATCCACACTTCTTGAATTGCACATGAAAAAAAAACATGTACAGGCTTTTATTTTACCATGACCTTGATACTGTTAAACTGTATACTTGGCAAACTAGGTGCTAATACTTTTTTTTAAGTTGAAATCAATCAATAATCTTAGTTGAATCGGTACCTGAACTAGCGATAGGGAGTGAAGCAGTTGAGCGTGTTGACCGCTTCATTTATCTGGGGAGTTTCATCAGTGCTGATGGCCTGGTGACTGACGAAATCTCAACATGGATACAGAAGTCTCAATTGGCTTTTAACAACCTGCGTCACTTATGGCGTAGGCGAGATATTCGTTCGCTAACCAAAGGACGGGTGCACTGCGCAGCAGTTTGCTCCGTCCTATTTTATGACTGTGAAACATATAGTTCGGTTGCTTGTTTTCGACTATAGGTATCTCTGAAGCATTGCTCGTGTATCATGGGACAACCGAGTAAGCAACGTTGTTATTAGGAAACGGGTGCTAGATAAAGATGGTAAATCAATAGATTAAGTAATGAAACTTCATCAGTTGAGGTGTTTGGGACTTGTGTTACGTATGCCCAACCGCCTTGTCGAGCGATATTTTGTAATGTAGGAGTAGGTTGGAAGAAACCTAGGGGCGGCCAGACCAAAACATGGCACATATCCATGAAATCACTGACAAGTAGACTGAGTCATGTTGGTAGGATGCAGACTCTCTGGTTGAGGTCCGCGAGACGAAATTCACCGATGGTTACAGAACTTGAACGACAGGGCTTAAAATCGTTTGTAATGGCGCAGGTGCATCCCCTATTTGGCATTTGAACTGTCAGTCACGTCTCTATGCTAATGTGGTATGGTAACCTGAACTTATGTTCATGCATACGAAGTTCTAAGTTGTAACTGACTAACTGACTGAATGTCTACAAATATTATTGCAAGGTATTAGTGAATAAAATTAAATTTTTCATGTAAAAACAAATATTTAACCAATATTACCACTAAGTCGACTGAATAAACGTTGTCTAGCTTCATTCGATGCACGTGATGTGCGTATTTTCTCAATCCACTGATGTTCTGGATCATCATTCATGACAAGTTCTTGAATAAAACCAATCAGTGAATCAATTACAAATCCTTGTGGTATAGTACAACCTAATAGAATGATTGGAAAAAAATTAAAACAATAAATTATATCATTATTATTTCACAAGAAGGAAAATAAGATAAACAGGATTTGTATTGACGTAGCATAAATTTGTTAATATTAGTGAAATTGCTCATTTTACTCCTTCAAAAAAGGGTTGCAATAGTGAAAAAAAAGCTTATTAGTAGAATAAGTTTATATCAAAGTCAGTCAAATGCAACGTTGAACTTTGTACGTAAGTACATCAGTTCATGTTGCCATACCACATTAGCACAGAGATATAATTATCAATTCAAATCCAATAGTAGTAGAGTTAGTAAAGGTATTAAAAATAATCGGAGAGTAACCCGACCCTAGCTGCTACCTTGACGTGGTGGTCGGGCTTGCCTATCATGATGACCCAACCGAGCTATATTGGCTGCAACATATGTTCCTGAAAGTTCTACCATGTCAGGCAGACAGTTCGATTGGAGAACAATGAGACTAAAAGCAGCTTCCCAAGGTCTAAGGGAGAAGTCGTACTGCTGACTGACTGTAGAGGGATGTGACAGCAGTAAGGTGTTTCCCTCGGACAACCAGCATCTGCAGCGATGCTGCCTTCTCACAGGGAAGGAAGGAAACGTTAGAAAAGGTCGACCCTAAAAATGTCACACCTCACCCTACATCACGGATTTCTGTCTCCGGCGGTAACGGCTGCCCACTAAGGGCCTTTAAGAGCGCAGCTAATCCTCAAAAAACCTTTCATAAAAAGGTTGTGCGTGACCGGCCTCAAGCAGTTGTCTCTTGGGCTCTGCGGTCACACTCGCAGGTCTCTGAGACCAACACTAATCTACCTTCCTTTTCAGGTTCCTCAAGAAACAACCTTTCACGGTGTGGGTAGCCGCGAAGTGACAACCGCCCTCATACCCGTAACAGCACACGAGACCAAATTGGTCGAAAGCAAAGTACATGGTTATCACACAGAATAGAAAACTATTGAAGAGTAATAAATGAACTATTTATCAATAAAATGAAGTTTTGGTAGAGATAGACATTTACAAAATGCTTGAACAAAAACAATTTAGGAGACGGACAGTGACTAGAAGTGGAAACCAAAACGTACATTTTGTTCTATTTAGAACTTGTCAGCTGAATGTGCCTGCAGCACAGAATTAATGTTCACTCCAGAACTCGGACATATTACCGTCTACAGAGCCACTACTTAGAACACAAACAGACTGATGAATTGTAATCCAAAATATTAATGAGAAAATTCAAACAATCATGGCACATCCAACTGTAGAGTTTTAAATAAGACGAAATCCACCTGCTGGATTCCACTGCTAGCTTAGGATGCTTGAAACCTAATTGAAGAAGTATTAAGTTATCTGGTGCTTATCACCACTATACTTGGGTGTTTAAATAAGGTTTTGTCTATGAAGTTGCAACTTACAGAGTTAAAAATTGAGTTTTCTTTTAATTGAGGTTGGAAGCAATTAAGGCACTAATGAAATAGCAGTTATCGTCTAAAATGTGCTTAAAAATTTAAAGCTAGAGACCGGGAAAGCTTGTGATATGTTGACATGTGATCTTCACTTTATACATTTCAGGTCATTATGTAAAGACAAGTTTCACCTACTTCGTTCAAACTACTTTCATAAAACAATAAGATGAAACACTAGGCAATGATATCAAGCAAGCCAGAAAGAGTGAATCAAATGAAAAATCGGCTCAACCTGATAGCACTGGACGGCCGTTTAGTCCTAGTGTGGGACTCATCGGCAGTGCACATTCACGACCCCACAGACAGACAGATACAACGCAGAAATCCGCACATAAGTACATCAGTTCAGGTTGCCATACCACGTCAGCACAGAGACGTTCACGACCCCACAAGCGGGAATAGAACCCCCAGTATAGTGGTCTCACGTGCCAACTCTTAGCCTCTTGGTCACTGAGCTGGCATTCAACAGTGTTAACGTTCAACTCCAATCAATTTTGAGAATAGAGATATCTAGTGTTAATTTCAGCAGTTGAACGGCAAACAAGTGTCAGCTAGTTTGAGAATTTCATTGTTTTTCTAAAAACCTTGTTTCCCAAAGCCGTAGAAAAATTGCGAAATGAAGCAGTGCTTGCTCTATTGTTTCAAAATAGGTGTTTCATTAATGAACGAAAGTTTTTTTCAAAGTTGTAATTTTGTGGATACAAGTTATTGGGACGAATAAATGTCTAGGTCCGGAATACATCGTTGTTGAGAGCGTGGTTTTGTATCACTAACCAAGTCTGAACTCCAGAAATGCCAGGAACGTGAGGTCATTAGTCTAGTCCATAAAACAACGAAGGTAATTAGTAAATAACTGTCGTCTAATTGAACTCAATATTGATCAAAGTACCGATTATACATCCTGTCATTTTAGGTCATGTTGATAAGCGAACCGATGGCACTTGACTCAATATCTTGGTTGCATGAGAAAATTGGACCACAGACACAGGCTGCATACATTTCAGTAAATAGTTTATAAAGCATACAACTTCGTAATTAGGAAGGAATAAGCTGAAAGCCTCTCATGGGAAAAGGCATAAAGCGAGTTGAGGATATTTTGTCTGCAAAAAAACTAGCAAGCATTGTGATGCCCGGACGTAGAATTATTGGTTCAGTGAACTATCTACTTGACGTAAGAGAACTACATATGTTTCTAGATCCATCGCAACATTTCTAGATGGTATCAGAGTGTAGAAATCATATACATTATAGATGGTAAAAGTTGTATTTTGGATTTAAGTCTAACTGAATAAATGAACAGACGGTCGTTAGAAATAATAGAGAAACTGTCGCTACAAGAATTAAAGACCACAGATAGTATTACCATAAAATAAGTGAAATGACTATTGTTAGGGTTACCAAGCAATAGTTCTGTATATCTTCAACATTGGTGCTGGCCTCATTATTCTTAATGGACCCACTCTTAGCTAGACACTCGGTCACATTTTTGCATCAGATTGTCATCGCAAAAGCTGTGCTACTCATCATTCATAACAACTGGGCAGTTTAAACAAAATAATTCGAAGCATACCAACTACCTTCCAAATATATCTTCAAGCTCTATCATTTCTGACTTCTTGTTTGACTGAGTTTGGGATCCTTGATTACAAAGATGTTACGGACAGCAGTTATGTGAAGCCCTAATAATTCGTGACATCTCTAAACTACTTGAGACCACTGAGTCTGTGGTGGCATCATACGTTGATTAATGTTGAAACGTTTGTTGCACAGGATTTTGTATGTCTACAATTTCTAACGAAGATATGGTACGAACAGACTTTGATGGTATATCAGAGATGAAGTTAAAACCTGAAGCACTAACGTGATCGAAAAACCTTGCAATATGAATAAATATAATCTCAAGAACGCAGATAATGCCGAATAAAAAGGAATTACGCAAAGGAATGTCAGATTCAATAGAAACATTTCATTAAATCCTAAAGTTTATTGGGATGATTATAAATCTGGCAATTATTAGGCGATGACTTAGGAAGTGTGGTATAATTCTAGACAAAATGCAGTTATAGCATGAACTCACAGTGATAAAAGCGTACTCCAAGGGATGACTGATGGTATCGACTAGCATCAAGAAATACATCCACCCGAATTGCCAAGCATATTTCTCCGCGGATTCCGTGCATAGTGTCATATATTGGAAACCAACCATTTAAGCATCTTGTTTGTCCCCGACTCAGTAAGGGATTTAGATCGAAGTATACTCTTCCGATTGTGTCATGCGCGCTATACGTGTCATGATCCATAACTCTGAATATTATAATTAAACATGTAATAAGGACAAACTTGAGTAGTAACGCCTCCTCCTGTAAAGCCTGGTCATCTAACTACAGATTGAAAAGAATGAACACAAGTACCTCAAAACAGAACCATTCACTATTCCAAGAAGGATTGAGAGATCGACGAACTACATCTGTTTTGTACGTAATGTTTCCAATACATAACTGTGATTATTAAAGGTACCAATTTCTAAGAAATTACCTCAACAAATGCGTCTGTAAGAAATGTAGCTCGATCCATAACTGGTAAATTTCTGGCTGATAGCACTCGTACTTTGACTGTTCCAGGCATTTTTTCGAATTCACATTTGTATATTGACCTTGACAGTTGAATTCGCGCCTAAAAAAGTTCACTTGAAAGAGAACTGAAAAATCATGCAATTACACTTAATTTTCTTGTTAAAAACATGGTAACCTATTAAAAATTATTAAATATCCTCCTTAACTGCTGAGGATCAGTAAGTAAGATTTTGACTTCAACCAATGAACGTAGTCGTTTAGACGAATCATCATTACTTATTGTTCGCACTAGCACTACATTTGTCATTGGACGTATAAATCATCCTACAAAAGAGCTTCTCCCTGAAAAGGGAGAATACTATGAATCGATGTCCAAACAGAGAAAAGGTTCTTCTTAATTTGAAGTGGTTTGTTAATCGCTTTATAAAGTCATTTGAATCTAAATTGATCCAAGCAATCTCATATCCTTCAAACAGTTGTGTTCAAAGTCCTACTGGGTCTTCGAATGTTTCATCTCCGACTCTGTCAGCATCAAAAGTGAATATTGTAAATGAGAATGGTTATGGTGATCTTCCTTCATTTCGGCGGTTACTTGACCAACAAATTAAATGTGGTAATAAACGTTTAAAAAATGAAAATTCTTACTCTTCTCGGGATATTAGTAATGAAATCAAAGATCAAAAGCAGACATATCATTCCCCACTAATGAAAATTCGTTCCTTAACTAACTCACCTTTGTTTCGTCGATTGTCTTTCACTCTCAACAATAATAAACGTCAATCTTTATTGTCTCAAGATGAAAAACTTGATTTCATTAAAAATCATTCTGATTACGATGAGCCGTGTGAGTTTGTAAGACGCAAGCCGAAAGTGCCTGATATTACTATTACCAGAAAATGTTACTCCAATACACAGAGTCCTTCTTGTACACCATTCGAACAAAATGTTCCCAACAAATACAGAGGCCCTTTATTCCAACTTGCTGAATTAACTACAGAATCACAAAGATTTTCAAGTTTGTCTGGTTTCGCACAACAGCTATGCATTATTTATGAATATCAGCTAGGTATGCTGAGAAACTTGCCTTCAATACATGCTGCTGCGGACTATGTGGCTGATGTGGTTATAAGAGCTATTAAATTGAAGAAGATTTCAGGATTAAATTCTCGAAATTTGACTCCAATGATCCTGTTTGATACTGATTGTCGACCAAGTACATATGGTAAAACTGTGAAAACTCTTCCTTTAACTGTTACCGGAGAACAGATGTCATGGAAGCTAGGTGAAATGTGGACACTACCTGGATTAAGACATAACGAAGTTGGCGGTGAAAACTGTCATAATCTTAGTATTGTAACGCATTTTCTGTCTACAGTTACTCCAAATGGAGATTACAGTAGATCTGATATCTATGGTTATAGAAATTTGATTTTACTGACTAATGAGAAAAATATTGAAACTATAAACAATTCTAACTATGATGTTTACAACACCAACTATCCAGAATCTTTGCAATTAAAATCTGAAGTTTCTCATAATCAGAGAATGAATTCATATTTTATTATTTCTTCCTTTGATTATGTTACTATTTCAAACAGTAAAATTAAACCTGGAAATATTCCTGATCCTCCATCATCAGACGATTCATTGAATGACGAAAAATTACAAAACAATGATAATAAAAGTTCATCACAAAGTAGTCCAGAAAGTAAAGCTAAAGAACCATCTAAACGTATTCATTCATCAAGTAGTATAGCAATGCTACGTCAACATTTACATCGTGCTTATCGTCCTGTATTTTTTCTTATTTATAATCGTCCTAGTGTTATTGAACATTTAACAGAATGTGATTCATTTGCATCATTTTGTAAACGGCAAGCTTTAAGTCCTGTTATGTTTTTAAATCAACCAACAACATTATTTGATGCTAAACCATATCCATGTATTTATCAAAATTTCGATTTGTTTAAAGTATCCGTGGCTGGATATTTATCACCAAATGAATGTGATATTTCAACATATGATTCAACATATAGTAATAATCATAATAATGACGATAACAATCATACTACTAATATTACTACTACTACTAATAATAATAATGTTCATAATAATCTTGTGAATAAAAATAACATTTTATCATCAGATTTCATACAACAACAACAACAAATTAAAGAAGGATATAATAATAATAATAATGGTAAAAGTTTAATGCATTTTCCTTATTTTACTTCACGTCGTAATGTAGCAGCCTATGATAATCTTGGATTTGCTAGGTAATTGAAAAAAAATATATGAAAATAAATGTACAAAAAGAGGAAAAACCGAAACCAATTCATTCATGCAATTTGTTTTTTCATTCTCGTTTTTTTTTCTAAAAAAAAAAATCAATATGATGTTATGATTATTTTTTTCTATTATAATTGGTTTTTCATATTGTAAAAAAAAACAGAGTATTGTGAAGGGAAAAGCACATATATTGATAGAAATATTGTTATTTAAAAAGAGAATATTAATAATAATAATAATAATAATAATAATAATAATAATAAATGATAATGATTATTTAATGATTGGTATTGAATTGATTCGCTTTTTTTTTACATGAAAAACAATTTGCTTTTTAAAACAAAAGCAATTGAACAATTGAATGAATGAGTGAATGAATAGATAAGCGGATATTGTCAATATTTTTTTTAATATTCATAAGATTTGTAGTTTAAACTAAACAACAACAATCAGTGTATAGGCACTATGTTCGTTCATACCAATAAATTTAGAGTATTCTACTAAGAATAATCACCAGTTTATGGATAATTAATTGTTAACAAGTGTTCAATGTCCAATCTGTCATAATTTGAGGTCTATTTTGAAAAGTTCTTGTTATTTATTGTTTTGAAAAAAGTACACATAATTTATAACTATTTAAATGAATAATTTTAGATTGTTAAAACGAAAAAAAACATTTGTCCTATATCAAACTATTTTATTTCCTGTCGCGAATAAGTTTAGATTGAAAGTTGAATAATTATTTCTTTTAGAAAACGGATTTTTTTTAGAAACAAGTAAGTGAGTTTTCTGTCGAGGAGTGGTAAATCATTAATTTTTAAGTACGAACGACAACTATAACAGAGATCAATCGAGAAGTAGATTGCTCTGAATCTATTGATAGTCAATTTACTAGCATCTATCATATGTTTGAAAGATGCGCTTAACAATAAGACTGAATTTTAACATATCGATGAACGTTCTTGTAAACTACTTTTATATTATACTTATTTTTAGTTTTACAGAGTGCAATTTTCATTTCAAATAGACATTTGTATTGTTTTACTTATGCTTATCAAACACTTTCAATAAAACCCACACATTTAATTGATCATGTCAATTGTACATTTAATATTTCATTGAAATTTTTCTTTGATTATATCATGACCTTAAATTTATGACTTGTTAAGAACTAGATATTTACTACAGTTTCACAATTCAGTTGTCAATGTTGTCTAGTTTTTTGAGCTTCCACAGTAGTATGTTCTAAAATAAAATGCTATCAATGCTATCTTGTTCATTGAGATTTCTAATCAGTTTCATTTTGTTAAGGATCTATAGAAACTAGCACTCATGAACTCGGTACTTACTTACCTGTTACTTAGGCCGCTTTTTGGGGGGCGTCGGCCTTGTGACTTCCGAGGGAACTCGGCTTTCATCACGAGACGTCATAATTCTTCTTCCAACTCCCAGGGCCAGAGTTAAAATGGTTTGATTTGTTTTTTCTGGTTAGCGTTTTTTGCCAAGTTAGTTTTTTGGTGGGGTGGGGTCGCCAACCCTCCTCCTTTATCCGGGCTTCGGACCGGCAGTAGCCCAGAAGGTTCTACTGGCGAAGTTATGAAGTCGGTACTTTCCTTGGTGTGTTTACCTATTATTACCTGTACTTTTACCTATTACGTGTGTAGTGACGCAATCTATTTCATTTCATTGTGATTATTGACCCATATTCCCTTGATCGGTTTAACATTTTCATCATATAAAAATATTCAATGTATATTAGCAAGTAAAAAACCTGATGATGGTCTAATTGAAAAACAACTGTAAGGTTCCTTTAGATTTGTTGTCTTAAAATTTCACAATGGGAATATTTAATACAGTAAATAATTTCTAGTTTTTGATGTATGTAAAAGTACTCGTTAAAAAATTCTTTATTTACATATATGAAAGTGTTGAATTGTTGGGATAAGTGAGATAGTGAAGCCGATAAAAGAAAAAATTGAAGAGTTACACCTGATTTTTTTCACTTGGTATCAATGTTTGTTTGTAGTCAATAATTTTGAAAATTATATTTTCGAGATTATTCTAACACAATTTTCCGATGGAAATATCATTTGGTTTTAATGAATGTATATCTAACAAGTTTGGATCATAGGATTCGTATATGATTGTTGGTTTTATATGACACTTGTTCGCAAAACATGCTGACGAAGATAGCCATGGAGAAAGTAGAATAGGTGCGCGCTACTTATAAGTAGTATATGACGCGAGTGAAAACGTAATGTCTGGCAGCAGTAGATGAGGGGAAGATCAAGAAAGGAAGAGTGGGAACACAATGGAATTTGAATGAAACGCATTAATAAGTGAAATGTCAGACAATGGATTGATAATGGATTGAAGATTTGCAAATTAACGGTGGTTACGATATGGTTTTCCTATTTTACTGAGTAACTCTGTAATTGCGATAAATACAATTCGGTTGTCCTTACCTGTGTTCTCCTTCACCACAGTGGAAGCCTGCCTTTTGGCGAAATTCTCATTTGATCTTGAGATAGTGGAGAAAATTGGTAGCTTAGGTGAATGATCGTGGTGGAGTTTCGTTATCTGAGTTAAAATAAAGAAACTCCAACATAAATCATCCTCCCGAACTACAAATTTTTGCCACCATCTCATGATTAGCGATAATAAATAGTAATATCTGTGTTAAACAAGTGATTATCACTTGCAAGGATTATGTTTCATTGTTTTATATATTTGATGGATTTAAGAGTGTTCATATTTGAGGTGAAATATTCATGATATAGAATGATTAGTTGTTACAACTAGATTTATTACTGATTATTATTATCGATTCAATATTCAAACTTATCGTTGTTTAAATAGGTTTTTTATAAGGTGGATGAATTAAATATTACAGGGATGAAACTTTTTGATAGTCTTGAAGATGTACTTTGATAATTTGACTTTGGATAAGAGGCTGTCACTATTCCCTTGTAATTGTATTTACACAATTAGTTGTACATTGAAAGAGTGGAACGAGTCTTATTCCATAAAAACAAAGAAATTGAATTTAATTACAGGATTATAAGCAAACAGTAGAGTGGGCAAAGGACTGTTATAACATATCAAACAACCAATTGCATTTTGTTGTCTCTATATATTAACTTATATTGGCAAGATTGCTCATCGTTTCCCTTTTCATTTGTCCTACTGATCTAATGTTAATGGCCTCTTATCATTTTTGAATAACTGTTTTTCTGGTAAACTTTACAGTATTCTAATCTCCCAAGAACTTTGACTAAATAATCATAATAACACATTCATCATTGATTTTTTTTCGTTGTTTCTCGTTCCATTATGATTGGTTACGTCATTCATCTTGTTCCCATATACAACTGAAGTTGTAGGATTGTGAAAAATAAGTGTTTTTCATTAGTAAGATTGAAATGTTATATACCCCTGTTTGATATGAAATTATATTTGTACAGTATTCCCTATATGTAAATATATATATATATATATATATATATATATATATATATATATATGTACCGAATAGTTGATAATTGAATCAACTTTGAATTAAAGCTTTTTGACCGCCTTCTATTTTATACGTATGATATACAAGAAAAGCATAAACATGACATCTTTCTGAAGCTGAATGGTTCAATGAATTATTTGCCTAATAAGAATTTTTCACATCAGCTAACTGAGAAATTCAAGTCTGTTCGTCAAAAATTATTGTATACTTTTAAGGAGTTAGTTGAGTTTCTTGTCGGTTTGTTTAAATGCTTGAATTCTTTTCCCTTGCCTTGTTAAGGAGTGTAAGCTAACACAAAAAATCTAAGTTTAAGGTTTTTTGTTCATCTGACATAAATATTTCATTATAAGGTTGCGAAGGTTGTTTATTTTTCATCGAGAAATCATGAATCGATCAATGTTAGACTACTATTAGAAACCTCAAAGCACTGAGTAGCCATTTCGCCTTAGTGTAGTAAAGGAGAACACAGGTGGGGCAACCGGATTGTATTTAACGGAAATTACAGAGTTACTCAGTAAAATTGGAAAACCATATCGTAAATCATTAATTTGCAAAATATCAGTTCATCATATCGAACTGGACTGTTCCTGTTGCAAAACATCAACAATCCATTGTCACTATTCATGCGTTTCATACAATTTCATTTGTTTTCTAACTCTTCCTTTCTTGATCTTCCCCCCATCTGCTGCTGCCAGACATTACGTTGATACTCACGTCATATACTACTTATAAGTAGCTCGCACCACACTAGTATGACATGACTCATCAGAAATATGCTCAAAAGGAATCAAACCTAGAACCTACAATCTTTTGAGCAAATGTTTAAATATGTACATTAAAACAACTGTTCGGTTTTTCCCGATAGTACTGACTCCGCTTTCATCGCTTTTCATTGATTTAAAGTGTGTAAATAAAAAAATACTACATAAATTAAATAGCCGCAAGCATTACTGTTGGATTGAAAATAAAAACAAAAATCGATTTTCAAATAATGATTATTATTATTACCATTCCACTCAGCTTTCTTTTTTGTTTTATTCATTGAGTAAAAAAATAAAATAGCCAATTTGAACGATTGAGTCTAATTAAGGCAAAGAAGAGAAAAGTATGAAGAAGAGTTAGGAACAAATCTTTGCCAATGATGAGAAAAACACAAAAACAATCTGCTAGTATCTCTTTTTTTTGAGAGAGAGATATAATCATAATATTGTATTCAGCGCCATGTTATTCACTGTCTATGGGTAATATATATACATATATATGTACACATCTTATTTAATTTCCTTGTGAAATCTCATTCATTCCTTCCTATTCATACATATGCGGTTAGGTTATTTAGTTTAGAAGTGGAATTAAGATGGAATACTTGACCAGTTATTAATGTACAAGCATGAAAGCAGACAATCATAACAGCAATAATAATAATAATAGTGAATACTTTTTGTTCGAGAATTTCTGATGATGATGATGATGATGATCATATCAAAACATCATCAATCAATCGTTGTTACTAGACCATCATTAAAAACCTGGAAGCACTGAAAGACGGCCGTTTCGTGGTCCTGGTATGGGACTCATCATTGGCAGTGAGCATCCACGACTCCTGCCCCTCGCAGGATTCGAAAACGGGACCTCCGGTATTGTGCGCGAACGGCTAAACATCGGACCACTGTGGCGGCATCCAATGGTGTTAATGTCTAACTCTGATTGATCTACGGAT